AGGAGGAGGAGATGGAGGAGGAGGAGGAGGAGGAGGAGGAGATGGAGGAGAAGGAGGAGGAGGAAGAGGATCCAGGGTCAAGCGTGTCCAACGAGGGTGACCACCGGTCCACCTCCTGGAGGAAGGGTGGCCTGCAGGCGCAGAACAGAGGGACTCCGTGGCAGGAGGGACGTTGCTACCCCAGCAGGACACAGGCCGGATGCTCTGTGGCGAGGACGGGGGACCCACGTGTGGGTGACGCATGATTTTCCCGTCACCTCGCCCCGGGAGCTACCTGCAGGGTCTGTTTGCAGAGTGGACTGTCCCCAGCCAACGTCCCAGACACCGGTGAGACGGAGAAGCCTGTGGGTTGGGAGCCACGGTGTCAGCAGGGACCCAGAGCAGCCCAGTATGGCCTCTCCCTCCAGGGTGCGGTGGGGGAAGTGGCGCCATATTGGATTTAGCGGTGCCGGACTCGATACCTGGGTTAGATGTGAAATGTCCCCTAAAAGCTCATGTGTCAGAAAATGCCAGAACGTTCAGAGGTGAAAGGATTGGGATGTGAGAGGTGTGACCTAGATAGAAAGTGGATTAATCCACTTGAATGGATTAACCAGGTGGTGACAGTGGCAGGCGGGGTGTGGCCGGAGGAGGTGGGTCTCTGGAGTGTGTCTTTGGGGTTTATATTTTGTCGTGAGGGATGCACCCTCATGACTCAGAACCTCCCAGAGCCCCACCTCCCCATACCACCACCTTGGGGTCAGGATTCCACATGGGAATTTGGGGGGACACACACACATTGGGCCAGTCACACCAGAGCTTGGGGTACTTGCCGTGTGGTGAGCGTATCCACGTCTGGGAGGCGCGGGGAGAGGCTCCGAAGCTGCTCATTTGGGATCCTCTGGACGTTGCCCTAAGAGTCTCTTCCTGATCCTGTTCTTGATCCTTCTTGCCCTGATCCTCTTCTTCTCGATCAATATCTTTTATAATAGAACCAAAATAATCAGCTCAGGGCTCCGTTGACTTCCATGAGTCTTCCTGGGTATTCCTGAAACCCAAGGAAAATATTCGTCTAACTTGGAAGCCGTTCATCAGGAGCCCGTGTGACCTGGGGTCCCTGGTGATTGGCATTGTACATGGGGACAGTCAAAGAAAAGTGAGGCTGAGTGCTCTCCGTGTGCACAGTCACCAATTGCAGGACTGGGGCTTGACGGGGACACAGAAGGAGAGTCACATCCCCTGTCCTGGGGCGGCGGGTCCACTCTGCATGAGTTTCAGCACCGTGGATGATTCAGGGTGTGTGCAGAGTGCGGAGACGTGTCCAGAGCAGGGTGAGGGGATTCCAGATGCAGGAACGGGTTGCTCCAGTGCCCACTGACCCCCTCGAGCTGTGGCGGAGGGACATGGGGGACAGTGTCACCTCGCGGGAAACCCCATCCAGTCTCCACACTGAAGTCTGCAGGGTTTCTGAGGTCCAGTCCCTGGTGGCCGCCTCCCTGGCTCTGGCCCAAGGGGAGCAGAACAAGATGGCGGCAGGGCCTGGAGGAGGAGAGCAGCTCAGGACAGGGCACCAGGGAGCAGAGAGAGCTCTGCCCACCAGGGACAGGACAGAGACCCCAAAGGCACAGCCCAGGGCCCCCTCCTCCAGCCACACCCCACCTGCTGCAG